GCCTGTTTTGTTTTGTTTGTTGTTTTTTGAGACGGGGTCTTGCTCTGCCACCCAGGCTGGAGTGCAGTGGTGCAATCGCTCACTGCAGCCTCAACCTTCCTGGCTCAAGCAATCCTCCCACCTCTGCCTCCTGAGTCCCTGGGACCACAGACCCACGCCAGCACGTCCAGGACCACGGCCCCACGCCAGCACATCCAGGACCACAGCCCCACGCCAGCACATCTGGCTAATTTTTGTATTTTTTTAGAGGCAAGGTCTCACTATGTTGCCCAAGCTAGTCCTAAACTCCTGAGCTAAAGTGATCCCCCCATCTCGTCCTCCCAAAGTGTTGGGAGCCACTGCACACAGCCTTTGCACAAATTTTCTTTTATTTTCTTTTCTTTTTCCGGAATCTTGCTCTATCACCCAGGCTGGAATGCAGTGGCCTGATCTTGGCTCACTGCAACCCCCGCCTCCGCAGTTCAAGTGATTCTCCTGCCTCAGCCTCCTAAGCCGCTGGGACTGCAAGTGCACACCACCACACTTGGTTAAGTTTTGTATTTTTAGCAGAGAGTGGGTTTCACTATGTTGGCCAGGCTGGTCTCGAACTCCTGACCTCAGGTGATCCGCCCACCTGAGCCTCCCAAAGTGCTGGGATTATAGGCGTGAGCCACTGCACCTGGCAGGCACATATTTTCTTATGGTAGTAATCTAGGTGCAGGCTGCAAACAATTAACTTTAAGCAATTAGTTGATCAATATGAACATTATTTTCCCCATTGTCATCTTTACATGCACCATAATTTATTGATATCCTATCTTTTACTTCTTTCTAAATGCTTTTGGAATACTAAACTTCTTACACAGGTTGAAAAACTAAACACAGTGGGGGCTCATCTGTGCCTAAACTTTATTCTCCCGCAGTTTTATTTGGTCCAGGCTGGTCTGATTCAATCTAGAAATCTAGTAGAATTCTCGCACAGCACATGTGCACAGCTGAATTGAGGAAGGGAAGGGCACTGCATGGACTGACTGTATGCCCGTTGCCAGGTGCTGTATTAGGTGCATTATGGGTTAGTGTATTTAATTTGGTCGCTGTGGTTTAGCCCTAAGGAGAGGCCCCCACATCCCTTCCACGGTTGGCCAGCTCTAGCTTTTACTATATGCGTTGTGGCATCTACACCACTCCATAGTGCTTGCTTTTTTTTTTTTGAGAGAGAGTCTTGCTCTGTTGCCCAGGCTGGAGTGCAGTGGTGTGATCACTCGCTACAACCTCCGCCTCCCAGGTTCAAGTGATTCTCCTGCCTCAGCCTCCCGAGTAGCTGGGATTACAGGAGTGTACCATGCTGAGCCAACACCACTCCATCGTTCTGAGAGGACTAGGATTTAGGAAAGGGCTAAACTTCTCTTTCAGGAAAAAACAAAAGAATGGGAATAATTCTCTCATCCCTTTTTATGCCTTTCCACCAAAAGCCAGCTTCTACAGCACAAAATACTTACTGACTGGAGGTTTCAGTGAGCCAGCCATTGGCATTTCTCTTTTTTTTTTTTTTGGAGACGGAGTCTCGCTCTGTCGCCCAGGCTGGAGTGCAGTGGCGCGATCTCGGCTCACCGCAAGC